GCGCGAGGGTTATCTGGGAGTGAACTGCGAAGCACAGCGGAGGTTTATTTTCCAGCATGGTCTCCCCAGTTGAAAAGGAGTTCGACGTTTTGACTCCCCGGATGCCCAGCTAGAAGTAAGCCATGCCAGAAGCCCCAATGTCTGGCTGATTAAGTCGCTAGGTGGTTCCCTAACCTACATAGATCACCAATTGCCGGTGGTGAAAGCTTGGCCGGCCCAGGCAAGACTGCTATGTTTGCTATGCTATTTATTTTATTGCTTGTACAGCATGTTATAAGAAGAGAGGCCCTGCACACTGGATCACATCTCTGGTGTCGGTCATCAAGACCAGTGTCAGGCTGCACAGGGCGCCATGGATTTCGGACCAAAAGGACACGTCAACGACTCGTCATGATGATTGTCTCATGCTCTGCACCAACAACGCCAGGAAAGTCTCGACCAATGCCGTCACGCCCTTCTCGAAGCTAAAGGGCGCGTTAGCTATCAAGTAATTGCCTTGCAGGAAAGAAAGTCAAGAAAGACGGACGCGAGGCAGCTGAGTGATCTCATTATCATTTGTGGTGAGAAAGTTCTATCAACGTAGGAGGCATTGGATTTGTCGCACTCATCTGTTGTTCATCTTGTCGATTCGCATGAGATCCTATCGGGTCGCCTAGCTATCTCTCGATTCCGTCCTCTGCATCAGAAAAGCATTACTATCATCAACTGATATTCTCCAACATCAGCAGCTGATGATTCGGAATGATGCTTTTTATGGGGATTTGGAAGAAGTCATCCACAAAGTAAAGTTCTTCTTCAAATTTGTCGTGGGTGACTTCAATGCAAAAATCGGGATATCAGAAGAATGGGAGCATAGGATCGGGATTGGATCAGGATTCCGAAATGAGGGTAACCGTCTTGTTGGGCTCTTATCCGCCGCACGTTTCATGGCAACTCCATCTTATGAAACAAAAACACCGGCGGGGGACAGGAGAGTCGTCCAAGGGTACTACCCATGGGGAGATCGGCCACATTCTCACCAACCGAAATTGATGCTTATTAGATGTCGCAGTGCTACCATCCTTCAGTAGTGGCTCAACCGCCTCTTTCGAGCAAAAGTGCGATTCAGCCGAAAGCAGGAAAAGAAGATCTGCCATCGTGTTGGAGGAAGGAAAGAAGTCGTATGACGGCGTCAGATTGGAGATGCTCCTGACCACTTGTAACTGGGCCCATCGAGGAAGACCCAACGAGGAACTACGACTGCTTTTCAGAGGACTGAGGGCCTGTGGTGAAACCTCAATGCCGCAAACAAGGAACTTGGAACGATTTTCGAAAGCCACCAAAGATTTGCTAGAGAGGAGGGGAGCACTGTGGCTAGATCCGACCGCATCACATTTCGAGCGACTGGTAGCCAAAACCAGTTACAGAGCACGAAAGTAAGGCAATCGAAACTTTTAGAAGGAAGGAGAAGTCTAAGGAAGTACCGCAGGGACCTTCTCGACTTCCGTATTCCGCTGACAACATTATTAAACGAATACGGGACTCGCACATCTTTCAGACAAAAGATGAAATCATCACGAAGAGATTCTACATCGACCTCTCCCGCTCGTCAACCCCGTGTCAAACCCTGTTAATCCCACTGGAGAAATACCACCACGGATTCTACCTGTACGCCCGTCATCCAAACCATGAAGGTAGCTACGGCTCCGGGATCGGACCACGTTTCAGCCGACCACGGAGAACCTCCCGAACACTTTCTTCATGAAAAGGCGATAAGGAGGATTTTCGAAACTACCGTCCAATATGCTTGGTGAGCGTGCTTTACAAGCTCTTTACGAAGATTTTCGCTCACATATCAAGGGCACTGGATGAAGCCCACCTATTAGGCTGGATTTCATCAGGGATTTAGCTGCATTGATCACATCTAGACAGTTTCGAGGATTATCGAGGTTTGATGAGACTACCGCCTACCTTTCGTCCTAACCTTTGTCAACTATGAGAAAGCGTTTGACAGCGCCGAGACCCATGCCTCAGACCTTTTCGAAGAGTATCAATGAAGCGGAGATGTTGAAAGAACTGAACAAGTAGGGAAGCAGTTAGGACTGCCAATTAACCGGAAAGACTTAGTTCATGAACGCCTTTTGCGAGGATCAGAGGGATTAGAAGGCTCTTCAATCTCGGAGACCTCTTCTTACGTATATCTCGGGCGTTCGATGAACATGGAGAACGATCTGAAAGAGGAACTAAACAGGAGGC